GAATTGGTAGATTGCCCAGGTCTCTGCGCGGTAAGCCAGGACTGTCAGAATAACAGCCCATGTCAAGGATGTCACAGCGACTCCAAACAACGCGTTTGTTTAGAAAAGACTGGCTGGTTTTAGAAGTCGCGATGCGACCTCGTCGTCTTCCAGATGATTTCAGTTGCCCTGAAGGCTTGAATGAAATCCCGCGACCTCTGCCAGCTGCATTCCCATGGATGTGGAGGTAGTCCAGTCCGGTGTTCATCTTGTTGGAGTTTCCATTTATGTTGGGCCAGGTCCAATGCGATTGAATTCAGTCTCGTTCGGGTCTTCATCTATTAACGCATTCCCTGTAGATGGATTTTCAACCGTCTTCTCGACCAGTGAGATGTGACAGGTCTAACACTTGACACTACACTACGCTTCTGTCCCAAGTATGCCACAGCCATCCCTTCTCCTGGTGGGCACGTATTCCAGTAGTTATTGGCGGGAACAGGTGTGCAGCCCTCATCTTATTGTGATTCGGAGGCCAATAGATGGCGTTGGGAGCGACGTCGTGTTCCACAGCGATCCCAATCGATGTGTGTCACCGTTGCACTGGGCTACGCCCAGACGGTCAGCTACACCTTTTCAGGTGACGTGGTCCGTGCCTACCCGAACACTTAAGTCGCTGTGGATAATCAACTCGTTCGACGTTCGACTGTCGCATAGACGAGAGGACGACATGTAGATCTCAGCACAACCTCTCATTTCTGCCGTCGTTGCTTGTCGCCGTAGGGGCGCGGGCGCTGATCATGGTGGCGATAGTTTCTCACGTGGGAGAGGGAGGACAGCTGTCCGACGAGGTTTTTTCTGATGCCCAAGACAACCACAGCATCACGAGACTCCTACAGTCGGCAGCCACTGAAGAAAATTGTGATCTGCACCGTCTCGCAGCCTTGATGCCCACACCGAGGCGTACCAGTCCTTGTACGATCAATGACACCTTTCCTCTGCCCAGCTGGCCACTGTGCTATATAACGGCGAACGGGAATACTATGCTCCCAGAGTCACTCTGACGAGGCGGACAGAAGGATCTGGTCGGCATCTACTGCAATGCATTGTATTTCGGCCGCGTTTACCATTTGCGAGCCGCAAGTTCGTGGACGGCATTTGTTATGGGCACCATTCCTTGCCAGCAAGAGAGTCATCTTTCCTGAATAGGGCTGCAAAGGCACCGCACGCGTCAATCGACTTCGGCCACTGGTCAGGACCTTAAGGGGAAACAGGTGAATCAGCACTGGTTACCGACGGAATTGTTGCCGCTCTCTCCGCAGGACTGACTTGGGTTGGAAACTGTGGACTAGATATAAGCCTCGGCCTATGCATGCTGCAGCACGACAGGTTCATCTAGGCTTCAAGCACAACTGCGCACCAGGGAAAACCCCACCGAATACCACCATCCGAATTAGTGGACAATTTGAAGCGGTTAGCTGGGTTTGCTAACCGAGCAGCGCACGTCATCATGAGGAAACTGGTGAGATCTGCTTGTGCAGGAAGAAATGGGTATAAGCCTCATGGCCCGTTGAGCGAAATACCAATCCTACATGGGCTACACCTCAATCAAGCCCAGCCAGGCTGGTGACTGACGGGTATACAAACCACGATTGAGAGTACACATCTGATCCCGTCACACCAGCCTCGACCGGTGCACAACAACCGGAAGGATGCATAACAACAATAGCTGTCTCCCGTCCCCGTACATGTTCTATAAGTGGACAGTTATTCCATTCCCAGTGCATTTTTGAGGCGCACAAGAGCTGCCACCGGGACAGAATAAATAGAACGAAACGACGACAAAGAGGCGACGGATAAGCGGACGTACAATGACTTTGTTGTTCGGGCCACGATGTGCGAATCACAACTTTCCAGGTTCATCCATCGTTTTCTGCCAAATTAGGAGCAGTCCCACCGCCAAAAGCAAATGACTAACGCAGCCAGACGTTTGGCAAGCTGATTACGGAGAAGGAAAGCTACCACTTTATCACGAACGCCTTTTAGGAGTAACGAACAAATAATGCTGCAGGTGGGGAATGCTAACAGCAAGAAACGTTGCCCTTCGTCCGACTACCGTGACGTCAACTGATAAACGCTCCGAGACAAGTTTTCTTCTCCCAAGTGACATCTGCCGGTCTCCTGCAGGTCATGGCCTGGTACACTCACGCTGCTGATTGTAGAGAGCGCTAGACTATCGAAAAGCGGAAGTACGACGAATGGCATCGTATCCCAGTGGTTTACTGCGCGTAACGCCCCGTAGGTTGTACTTCTCTCACATTGGCCGCTAAAACACCCAAGGGGGAACCCAAGTTGTTTACGAGCCCCACCCATGCCAAGTGGCGGGTCAGCATTGCCGATCTAAACAGAGTTGGTCGCTGCCACCGCTTACACGGACAGCAGACGCTACCGCGGACATCGGGAGCCGAATGCCAGGGTTAACCATGTTTCGAACCTTTGTGGCGCAATCATTCCGGCATGAGCCAGTTCTAATACTGAAGAGCCCGCAATCTGTGCGTTGTGCTTCCACCTAAATTCGACCGATCT